AAAAAGTAATCAGATTACAGTAACGCGTTACTGCCCATCTCTGATCTCGAGTGAATTGTCACTCAGGTACAGATATCATGTGGAGCCAAAGATGTCTTAGTATCAAGAGGAGTCACTCCCTGTTTCAAGTACCTGACGCTAATGAAACCCAGAAAAACGTGTCACTCTTGTGAAGTGTTGCTACATACTAGTAAGTTCGTTTCAAACATAGAGGAAGCTCGAAAAGAGGTAAATAGTTTTTATCTTTAAGTCAATTCAGGCGCTTATCCGGTGTGTTAATAAGGTAATTAAATGTCAGACTACAATCCTCGAGAAGTCCGTAATGTCCGTTAGACAAAAATGTCACTGTACGTCCATCTTCACGGTCCGTCGTCATAATCTCCTTATTCTAAACTATGGTTCCGTATGTGCGACAAAGCTTTGAAGGGAAAATTAACATTTACAGAATCGGGTTATTGATGGTGAGAGACGGATTTATGTCGTTAGGTTATTGTCCAAAACTCAGCTGAGGTCGAGATGAGAGTGGCGCATGAACAAAAAAAAAAACGTTAATGGTTTTTGTTTGTTTATTCGTTTGCTTGTTTTATTATTTACATTAATCGAGGTCTTGATCTTATAAAAATATTCAATATTGTTGTTGATATTAATATCAGGCCATGAGAACAAAACATTGTTCATACTTATCGTGTAAATATGAAATCCTGCCAAAACAGTTTTAGACAGATGCTTTTAAATAAAGTTTTTGTTTTTTAAAGAAGAAGAACAAACGGTGATGAGAGAAAGCAACTTCTCATATGATTAAGTGAATATGCCCCCAATCCGCACACACACACACACAGACAGAGAGAGAAAGAGAGAGAGAGAATCATGTGTGATGTAGGCGTGACTGGAGCCACAGGTTCAGTATAAAGTGAGCATGAACTCTGGGATGAGAAACAGTACTGTTCCAGTGTTTTCTTTTGTTCGTTCTTTCCTGGAAGTGAGACATCATGAGAGTGGAAGGTGCGGAATAAAACTGCAGAGGCACTCAGGATTCTTACCAAGAAAAAAAAATCAAGGTAACTTAGAAAAAAACACTCTGAATTTGATATCCATGTTTGTATAAATGTATTATTTATTCTTAAAATCATGATATTTCCTGTCACGTTATACATCTCTGCCTGCCTCAACTTCAGTTCCTTGTGCAGAGCGATGAGGCTGGTCTGGGAAACTGTGGTTTCAGCGGTTTTTCTAATGTAATTTCTACTCCTGTCATTTGTTCTGGCTATCCACTCTTCTCCAGGACTAGCTGTGATGATGGAGAAAGCTGCACTGCTGCTTTGCTGCCTGATCATGACTTTGTCAGGCTCCCCACTCTACCCATCCATTAGGTAAGTCCTGACAAAATCACTCAAATTCATTAGGTGTTGTTCATTTCCATTTTCACTGAGGTTTAGGCATATTTTGAAAGTTACGTAAACCCTTTGCTTAGTTCAGCCGTTCAGTTTTGGGAATGCCGATCAATGACAGCATTGGATGATTACACAAAGGGAACATTTTTTGTAAACTCATGGCAAATCACACCAATATGCACTATATATGCATCATTTAGCTGAAATGTTTGGAAGCCTTACCAAGTGGCATAGAAAATTTTCTTAATATTCAAAATCTGAATTAAACATTAAATATAACATATTTGATCTCTGTCAGGATAAGAAAAATGGTCGTGTCGAAGCTCATCTAACAGTTGACTCTTTACTTTACATGTCATAGCTGTGTCCTCTGCACTTCTGCTAAAAAGGGTCAAGAAGTCTGGATTAGTCACCGCGTTACGTTTACGAGGCATCATCGTCACAGTGTCGTGTACCAAAGCTGCAGATGTAATTTTTCACGCGCTAAAGCATTTTGCAGACTGATGTTTTCTTTTCTTTTAAATCTGTCATCTTACAAAGACTCTGCACTTCTATGAAATCATCGTTCTTGCTAGATAAAGGGCTATGTTTGAATAATGGCATTTAAGATGTTCTGCATTCATATAGTTCATGGGGATGTTTCTCAGGTTCGGCCAGAGGGATACATCTATCCTGATGACATCTTCACTAAAGAATCCAGCAGAGCAGCAGGAGGAAGACACACGTCCTCCCAGGGAGCCAGCAGAGTTGCGGTCCGTATGTTAATATGGTCTGAGTGGCTGATGTAAAATATGGCTCAAAGGCTCAGCTAATGAAACGTCCCAGTCAGAGTGGATCATTTACACAGTTTTTTTAATGGGGATTCTTGATTTATTAGAAGGTACATCATTTTCAAAGATATGTCAAAAAAATACACACAGCTGAATACAATGCAAGCAAACATTGGACTACAGATAGTCTATGCTGGACCTAAGTCTTTATATTTTGACCTTTTAGATATGGAGCTACATTTTATTACAATAGTGCACAAAGTTTTCATTTATGAATTAATTATGAAATGTGGCTAAGATCGATCCACCCCATAATACAGCCCGTGCTGCAAATATAACATATTTCTAATGTAAGATGAGGAAATATTGTTTTTCTACAATATTATGATTTCATTGCACATTACTTGGAATGGATTAAATGGATTGTGCAGTGAACATGCACTTGTCATTACAGTATTTTTCTTTGTTTCCTGTAAAAACTTCACTTGTTACTTTCTTATTTTGGTGTACTTACCTTTAAATATTTATAGGTAACCATGACTACATTGTAATTTCAAAGCAAATATGTTGAAATTCCATTTGATTACAGGGTAATTACACCTTTAGTTGCAGGCCGTATTTTAAAGTTTTACTAAATGTGTCTTAATACTTCGAACTTCCTTTGTTCCTTTAGTGTGGATGCATAAAAAGATGTGAGCAAATTGTAAATCGACCGCTGGCCAGCTCCCAGATAAATCCTGCCGCTGCACTGCAGTTTACTTTATTTTCTGCTTACACTGACTGAACTGATGCAAACTGTCCCCATTTCTGATTCCAGCTTAGGGCGCCACGCTGATGCCATCTTTACAAACAGCTACAGGAAAGTCCTGGGCCAAATCTCTGCCAGAAAGTTCCTTCAGACAATCATGGGCAAACGGCTGGGGTAGGTAACACAAGTGGAATGAAATCGCTCCAATGTGTGTGGGTTACCAGTACAAATAGCCAGTGAAAGAGGAATTATTGTTGGGTTTGTTTGTTTTTTTTCCCCACAGGGATGGAAGTGAGAGCTACATGAAACGTCAGTCAGATATCTATGAGGGGACATACAAGGAAGACCTCACAGCCATCCAGAGAAATCAGAGATACAGGGGGGTGCACGGGAATGTCCTGAGACACAGGTATACACGTCTCCAATCTTTAAAAAGCCTAAACATTCAGACTTTGGCTTTTCCCACAACTACAGATTCACTAAACTGAATCTTTTCTCTTTACAGACTGCTGAGTTGAGGAGGAAAGCTTTATCATCACATTTTTT